TTACAAACGGGCCCAGTGCCCAAGGCTAATATTCTGAATGAAAATCTGAGGCCGGGGTCCTCACAGTCTACCCGGAAACAAAAAATAAATCTCTGGGAGCATTACCCAGTTTCGCTTTTAAGGAGACCCATAGGGACCCGACGGACCATGAAAAGGCACATTATGACCTTTCTCTTCAAATAACCAAAAATCTGTATCTGACCTAGCCTAAATGAGCCGCTCCCCCCGCTCCAACAAGGCCTACCTATGTTCCATCTGTAACAATTAGACTAAATTGGGTAAGCTAAACTCTACATAACTAAGGAAAGAGCAATAACAAGTCAACATCCAACCAGACCTATTTGGTCATCCAAGCTAAATATGCAGATCTCAATTTCACCTTACACTACCTACCTACCATTACTCCTAATTATAGTCAAACGGGGAACCCCGTAGCAGCCAGAACAGTGTTCACCAGAGAACATGTGGGGGCTGCGCCCGACCTGCAGTGGAGGCTAAATAGCTGACAACGCCTGAATCCAAACCGACCTGACCAAACGCCAACCTTTCGCTCGTGGTGACTAAACAGCTAAGCAGAGGAAGTGGCAATTACATGGAGCATGGCGTATCATGCGTACTATTTTACCCTGATGGTGAATCTAAGAGGCATTGGGATTCCAATTTGAGGATCATTATTTGAGAGCGTGCAAGAAACGTGGAGAGTGACATGCTGGTTAGAACCATGGTAGAAGCAGCACTGGAAAAGATTTCACTTGCTACTTTCTGTGCCGAAGTGGAGATAAGGCAGCCGTCCATTCGCCAATATGCTTTTTTTCTGGAGCATTCCTTGGGATGATTACAAATTTTGATCCGGTTTCCGTTGGCCTGCCGAGCATTAACTTTCGTGAGCGTGTCCGGACGCGAGTGCCTTCTCTCTCTGAAATCGAACTGTACTCTTTGAGAGAAGGGGGAGATTACACAGGACGTGGGGGGCGTGAAATGAAATCAGAGAGGGCAAGGGGCCGTGATATGCTCTCGGCCTCGAGGCAAGGCACATCTGATCACGAAGAGTTGTATAAGCTGTCGGAATCAACCACCTTTCCTTTCCCCCCCAACTCACAACGAAAGGATCAGGGTAGCATGGGGGAGAGGATACTGCATCTTTGCAGCTTTTTACTCTTATTCCGGCACTGCACTAGGGTGACTGGAGTGCACACTCTCCTCGCGAGTCCTCGGCGGTTGCTTGCCAACTAAATTTGCTGAGAGGGTGAAACTCTAGCGGTCAACCACTAGCGCCATGAAATTCTGACTCGTCATTGGCTTCTGTCAGTAAAATAAAAGGTGAGCGATGAAGACCTTAGGCAATCACAGAGACATGGAGATATCCGAGATAACATCAGGAACGGTGGATTGCACGGTGCATCTCATCTGTCTGCGTGAATGCCGACGAAGGGCAAGAGAGATCGGGCCACTAGTACATGCACGATTAGCAGTCTGTTAGCGCCGGGCCCAAGCAGTGGGAAATGCTATATGTAGTTGGTATCGACGCAAGGACAACCATCTTTAAAACGCACGCACATACGAAAAAAAGCCGTCGTTTCTCATGGGGTAATTGGTGGATAGCGCCCAAAATTTTCCACTCTGACCCTTCTTGCCAATCGCAAAAACTTTGGGCGCGATAATCCAGAAAGGTTTTCGCGCGGGCCGTATCTAACGAATACCCGCATCCACTCACACAAAGGCACGCACGTGCTCGCAGAGACACACACAGCGAATAGCAGCGCCCGTGTTTGAGATGACAACAATCCTCGAACCCTCCACACAACTCGATTTTTGGGGGGGGCAAGGAAGGAAATCCAATCGCACTGCAAACAGCCGTATAGTATACATTAAATTTGAACCTTTTTTTGGGGGTGGGGGAAACTACGCGGGAGTCACAAAATCGAGTTACAATTGCAGTATGGGCCAAGATACAGTTTGCAATTGCAGTTTGGGCAATGTATACAACCCAGCTTTGTGGCCAGGTAGGGTGCCCGGAGTGCAATTGCAAACTGTTATCTTGCACCATAGTGCAATTACAACTCGTGTTTGTGACTTTACTGAAGTTACCCCTTTTTTTTTCCATCACCCGATGGGCCACTGATCAGAACAGATACTATAGTGATCTGAGTCAAGAGGACGAGAAATGTATTAAAATTTAAAGCATGTCGAAAACAAGCAGAACACAGTTTTCATCGACAACCAAAAGCCCTACAGTACAAGCGGAAAGCCATTGGGCTCAAGATCCGCATTCTACTTGGGCACATCTCAGGCCTGCCTCCGCATTCACTGACATTACCACACGCGCAGGATATCCGATGTGTTCAAGATATTTGAGTGGCATCGAAAACGTGAGCCGTGAATTACCAGGGGCTGAAACGAAAGAACAGCGAGTGAGGTAAGGAGTGAGAATGAAAAGAAACAATTTTCCGAAGTTGAGGAACTGGACAAGCAGAGTCACTGTGTTCAAAAACTTCAAACGTTGCCACTGGGTAAACCTTGCTGCAGCTAATCAAGCAACAACAACAACGCGGGTGTGATGGAGCGATTTTACCAGCAGGATGAGCGAAAACGAATAATTCACGAGCAATCAAAGGAAAAAGGGCAAATTGCAGAAATACCTATTCCGACAAGTATCGTCATGGAACCGGTATTTCTGCAATTTGCTCCATCTATAATACTTATCGGAACCGTTTTTTTTTTTTTTTTTTTTTTTTTTTGAATTTGGACCATTTCTCTCGATTTATGCGTGTCATCCGTGCGCTGGGGCCATGCCAATCTTCTCTGGATCGTTCCAATTTTTACGGATGTCCCAAAGGACAGAACCGGTACTTCTGCTATAATACTTATCGGAACCGGCATTTGTGCTACGATACGTCTCGGAACCGGTTGCCCAAAGAAAAAATGCTCACATGACTACTCGAAGCAGATCAACAAGTTAAGAGCGGTAGACGGTCATGAGCACCGGTCAAGGACTGTCGGAAGGTCGGAAGAAGGAAAGTCATTTCCGCAAAGCGTTGAGCGGATACTCCGCGTTCCCCACGGGAAAAAGAAAGAGAAAACAAAACACATTTACGTAACAGCTTCGCTTAAGAAAGCGCACTGCACGAGTAACCAAAAGTTCAAAACCATTTAAATAAATAGATCAGTACATAATAACTTAACACCACCCGTCAGGACGACCGTGGATCATGGTGCGGCTGAGCGATGGCGATGGTGTTGGAGTGAAAGAAGTTTTCGAGACGGCGTCTTCAGTGGTTGGAAGGAGAAGGAATTGACGACAATCTCAACGTCGGCATGGTCTTCAGGCAGGCTGGCTTCGTACAGCCACAGGTTGATGTGGAAGACCTCGGTGCCGGGTGGTGGCACGGCGCCCACTTCTGTCGTGCTCTTGAACGACCAGGACTGAAGGAGCGCACCCGACGAGGCGGAGGTGCTGGTCCAGGACAGCCCGTTGGGCGACCAAGTCATGGCATGGACAGTGGCTTCCGGTCCCGGGACGGTGAAGCGGAGGCGTTGACCCGGCAGTTGGTACGGCTGGACGGCGTACTGCGTGTTGGTGCTGTCGCTGGCCACTCCCCACTTGGCGACCTCCACGTCGAACTCGCGATGCGGGTTGGACAGCTCGCTTTGGGCGACGTCGGCGTAGGTGAAAAGCCCAAACACCACGTTTTCGTGCAGATCATTCGTGGGCGATGACACCCTCACCGTGTACGTGCCGTACCCCAGAGAAGACGGCAGGAAAACCTCGGCGCATGACCACCTGCATTCAGCAACAAGACAGACATTGCAAAACCCAGCCAGTATAACTCAAGTAAGTGAGAGGTTTATTTGGGTAGGGCTGTGGGATGAGTCTCAGAAGCAACGAATTTAACCGGTTCGAAATCACCGCTTATCTGACAAGGACGACTCAAGAGTGTAAAACGGCAGCGATTTCTTCTGCGGCGGTGAGCTCACCCTCCCTCCTTGTTGTTGGAGATCTTCAGGTGTAGTTTTCCTTGCTCATCGACAGTGGCCAGACTTCCGTCCCAGTGATTAGGTCCAGGCTCCTCTACCCCGGTGGACGTCCGCGTGTTCCAATCCCTCCCGGAGAATCTCACACTCGATGAATAAGCCGCCGCAACTGTCGGCGAGGAGGCAGCAGCTGGTTGGGAAGGTGGTGCACTGTACGCTGTCACAATAATGCCACCATCACCCAAGCGGTGCCCGCAGCCCATTAGCATCACGGTCATTGTCACAACGATCAGCAGGGCCGTGATGGACGCCATCCAAGTCTGTACGTTACGCAGAAAGCCTCCCAAATGATCCGCAGCAAGAAAAGGACGATCCAGAGAGAATAGAGGTGAGGAAGTGCAGTGAGAGGAGGAAAGCTAGGGGACGGGCGAAGACGGCGTCTAAAAATGGTGGGGCGTTGGTCACGGGCTGCTCCGGCAGTGCAATCCGATGCAAGCGGCGTTTCCTTGCTGTTCCCGCCGCGTGCAGAACAAAAGCTGAGTTAAAAGTGCGAATTGCCTCTCTTGCTGGAGCTCCGAGAGAGATTATGTGGACATCATACTGGGCAGCAACCCCTAGGACAACCTCTCAGCTGCAGGATAGGTCCACGTACGACTCGAGAAGCTATGTCCGCAAATTATGCTCGGACTGTTTCTGGGCTGTTCGTTGACCTCCTCGTCTCAGCTCTGGAGCTCGCACACCGGGAGAAGCTCTCCTTCCTCATATACTCACCGCACGGCCGCGTTCTACACTTGCTCTACGTTCGCACGACGGAAGACGCGGCGCACTTCAATCTGCCAAATGTGTCGGTCAAGCGCAGCTTTATATGAGTGAAAGGTCGTTGCATCTCTGCTGGGTATCTATCTAACGCATGGAATCGGTCTGAACGATAATCGTGTTAAAAAATTTCCTTTGGCGCCAAGTGCATGCGTACACTTCGTTGTGTGTATGCTTGCCAAGTTGCCAACAGGAATGCAGCCGGCGGACTTGCTATGCGCGGCGCCATGATCGCCCGCCAAAGCTTGATGCATGACAAAATCAAAATCCGTCCAGGCCGGTACTTTCCCGCCCGCCATTGCCGCGCTCACAATGACGAGCGGGACGCGCTGATCGACCGCTCCCCGGCCCGGGAGGCTGAGAGCCGCTGCTGTCTCGTCCGACCATCGTTGCTTCATGGCGGGCGATACCCCCCCCGAGGTGTTTGGACAGGAGCGGAGGTTGGGAGGGAGCGCAGGCGAGACCGGCGCGGTGGATGGCAGGTAGGGCGGCAAAACGACAATGGAGACGAAGCGGGGAAACACACACACACACACACACACACCGAGGGAGGGAGGTGGGGAAATCTGTGGACATGTCGACCCTCGCTGCTGTCATCGCGCTTCCTCGAGGGACACTGCGCAAAGAGCGGGAAGATGATCCACCTCATGGTTTTCGGTGGTCGCCATTCCGCGCCTCTGAGATGGCAACTCAGCTGCTGGCGACTTTCGCGGTTCAAGAAGATAGTGCGCGCAGGCGGGAGTTCCGAAAACGGCGAAAAGCGAAACAGCCGCCATTGCTACTAACGAAACTGGAGTCATTCGTCCTTCGCGGCATCCGTAAACATTGGACTGATACAGAGAACCTTACCATGGCCCCTGCGCATGGACGGCGCGTGTAAGTGGAGATACTCGCGGAAAAGAGAGCTATACTACATGCATTTGGACGCTTTAGGCCCCACGTGCATTCGGACGAGTCACATATCTCAAATGTGGTGAACCATTTCGAGGTCCAGATACCTGTAGAACGTTTTTTAGTGGAGGGACGCTCATACGGGCTCGCTGCACTACTCTCCACGTGCACAAAAGCCAAAAAATATGGTGGTGCATCTTTCCTTGTTCTAGTGGAAGATTCTTGTCATTTTGAACATTAGGAGAGTAGTGCGGCGAGGCCCATAGACAATTGTATCTGGGTTGGTTGATATCTGATGCCTGGTCCTTCGAGCCACCATGGGCAAGGAAAAACGGAGCAGATAACTGGTAGAAAGAGCCCATGCACCGCTCCCGTTTTGGGCGTCCGAAACTCGGCCGCTTGGTACTACCGGCCCAAACCGTCGTCAGGCTGGGTGAAAGGCGCCTTCGCGCCGTGGCCACATCTCCCTGGGCCTGTTTTTACAGGTTCAAGAATTTGGTGTTGTTTTTGTGCCAGATTCATGAACAGGTAGGGCCCTTCCTTTTTTTTTTCTCTCCTTTCTATTTGTGGGGAGCAGCACATGCTTGGAACCGGGCCCAGCGTCCCTTATACAAAATGCAGATTGGGGCCGGGGTCCCCACAGTCTACCCGGTCAACACAACAGGATACTGGATTCGGGGGGCTCTACCCGGTTTCCCTTCAGTGCTTAGTACTTGCTGGAAAACAGGTCCAGCGTCCCAACTGGATGTATCTGGAGTTACCTATTCAATATGACGAATCTCTGTGTATCCTACTGTCAGGCCTCTCAACCACTCCGTTGCCTAATTGGAGTGCCTTGCTAGCCTTATGAGCAGGACACAGAGATATGTCTGTGACGAACCATTTTTTGTACCGCGCGACTTTCTGCGTGATGACGATGAGGGGTCCTGAGATGGGAAGGCTGGGCAAGTTACGGGAAGTGGGATCGGTGGGTAAATTGCATCAGTGACCCTGCTTCTTTCTTTTTCTTCGCTTCGCTCCTTCCCTTCGGCGGTGGTGGGACAGGCCCGAGACAGACGGTTGACTGTGCGCGCCCCGTTGGGCGTGATCAATAACGGTTGGTGATGGTTCGCTCTTGCTCGGCTGGGAGTAAAAGTAGGGAACGGAGATTTTTGGCGCGATGATCGTGCGGGAACTTTTGCGTGTTCTTTTTAAATTTTTCCTAAGAACAAGCCCCCGACGGCTCTCGGAATTCTGATTTCCTTTTTGATTTTTCTTCTGTCGGAATTTTTCTGTTGCAGTTTTGAGTTCAGATAGGAATTAAAGACTTTTTGAAATTCTTGCCGAGTGGCACTCCTTTCTTGTGCGCGTTCTTCTGCGGCGGGAACGAAGTTCTGACTAAGAGGCGCCCTTAATCTTGCACACAACTGTATTCGTTGGGCGGACGCCGTTGTAACTGTATCTTCTTTCTTGATTCCCTCGTCTTCTTCCCGCCCTTTGTCCCTTCTTTTTGCTGCATCTAATTGGCCTGAGCGTTGCATGCATGGATGGATGCGTGGAGAACGGCTACGTCCCCCACGCCGCGATCTGGTCATGCCAAGCATAGGCACTTCCTCCTTCTGCTCCTCTTTCCAATCCCTGCAATCTCCCATCTTCTCGCACGCATGCACACTATAAATCTCGTCGGCGCGATTCGATAGCTCTCGTAAAAATTTTGGAAGCTCGAGGTTAGCGCGATCAGTGAGGGTCGGCTAATGAGCGAAGCAAGAGGTCAGTTGATGAGGGAGTTGGGCGACCCGACGAGCTGCTGCCAAGGCCCAAGTGTGCGGGGTTGACATGCAGGCCACGACCGACTGTGGCGCACGGGCGAACCTGACGGGCGCATGCGGACTAAGACGGGTGACAACTTCGTTGGGAGGTGCGAGACGACGGACTGTCCGCATCGGAGAGAGAGAAAGAGAGAGAGGAAACAGGCGGGTGTGGGATTGAAATCTTTTTGGTCTTAACTCTGGTGTACAAATTTTGGCAGTGGGCAAGACGCCCTTGTTTTGCATTTTAACCCTCTTTTCGGCTTCGTGGGATGTGTTCTCCCTCTTTCAATTTTGGCATTCGCTTGATGAGATGGGTCTGACGATCTTGTAATGTTGGATAACCGATGTTTTGCATGTAACTCTGAATCACCCCGCGCTCGCAGCGCCGGCCTATTCTCACTCATATGATTGGTAGGTGAAAGGAAAAGATATTGTTATGATGCTTTGATGAATGTTTGGGTACGCAACTGCTTTCTGCTCGAACAAGAGTTGTATGAAAGGTCGATTGCATAACCCCCTCCCCCCCCCCCCCCC